CAGTTTTGGATATCAACACAAATACATGTGGTAGCCGAGGATCTCGGCCACTGATTCCTTGGTTGGTCTCTGTTTCGCCGGTTTTTATCCCGTCGAAAATCTTTCACCGAACGCTACGTTTCTAATTTTATTAGGGGAGACTAGGGTCTTGAATCAAGCTCGGACAAAGAATGTCAAATGCGTTTATTAAACCCAACTTAGGTCTTACAACTTGACTCGATAAAACGCCAAACTCAACAATACTAACAATGAGATGACAACTTGCAAATGTCGAGATCAAGCTATGTTGGAATCTAATCAACGACACAACTAATACGACATTGCCATTCAAGGTACGCCAGAATCTAATCAATGACGTAACTTGAGAGAATATGACTGGAATCTAATCAACAGCTATATTCCAAGCACAACGCCGGAATTTGATCGACGACGCTGAACAGGTGGCACAACATTGAAATTTAATCAACAATATTGAACCTGATAAGACTCTCGCCGGAATTGAATCTACGACGTGGAATCTGAAAGTTGTAACTACGACTACTCCTATTGTGCTGAAAGTAAAAACAGATAAAATATGTGTTGTGTTATTTTTTTCAAGATCCTCTCTATGTTGAAAATCCTTGAGTATTTATAGAGCAGCCTGATAACTGTCGGCTGGCCACTTCTCCTTGAAAGTCGTTTTCCACTTCCTTACGTTTCGCACTTTAACCGCTTCCTGACTTATTGATGTTGCTTACGCTCCTTGGGCATCACGTAATGGCTGATTTTCTTCCATGTGTCTCTTTATTCCTTGCTAATTCCCAAGTTTCATTCTTTAACTTCCTTGATCTTTACGCCCACGGTTATGTTTTTACCTTTTGACACGTGGAAGTGAATTTCTTTACCACGTATCACCATGTATTCAATCCATGATTTCAGACTTATCGACATCACGTGTAAGGCTCGTGATTTTAAACTTGTCAACGTCACGTGCAAAGCTCGTGATTTTGGATTTGTCGACACTTTTATGACGTGTCCTGTCGATAACTACCTCAAATCTTTCCAATGCCTCTAGGCCTGACTCACGGCCTTTCTCCGGATTCATGCCATGTGGGTCGTGTTTTATATCCTTTGTGACTTGTAACTGGCCCACTCCCACTAGGGGTAATTTTGAGTGTCAATAGTCTCCAACTCCGCAAACAGTTTCTGCCTTTTCTTATTTGGGGGCTTCTTCAATCCATGTCTGGTGGGATGAAGAACTCTCTGATCTACACTTTGGGGAAGTCTCCGCACAACAACCAACGCCACGAGCATAATCCAGAGGCGCATCTACGTAGGTTTTTTTAAATTTAAGGGTGCACAAGCATTTGATTTTATTCGAAAATCATATTGAAGCTAGAGTATCCACGACTTAATTATCGATGATGGCTTTTATGATTTTATAAATCCCTTAATCATTGTAATTAGTGGTAACTAAGGGCGCGCATGGAATCCATTTTGGAGCAGAAATTCTGCTCCATAATGCATTCCGGAACAGAAATGCGTTTGTTAAAAAATTTCCGGAATGCATTCTGAAGCAATTTTTGCATTCTGGAATAAAAATGCGTTTGGTAGAACTTCATTCTTTTTTTTGCTCTGGAATGAATTTTTGCTTCTAGAATGAGTTTTGGCCCAAAAAAGAGAAGCTACTTTTTGTAGCTTCTCTTCCGGAATGTATTCTAGCCCAAATTTCCTTCTTTACAAGAAATTAAAAATTTCAAAAAATCAAAAGTTTTCAAAATTTCACAGAATGCCCTAGAATACCTATGGCCACCCACTTTGAGTGAAATTTAAATTTTTTTAGGTGCCCAAAAAAATCAAAAACTTCAATTTTTTACAAAATGGCTTAGAATACCTGTGGCCATCCACTTTTAGTGAAATTTAAATTTTTTGAGGTACCCAATAAAAATCAAAAAATCAAAAATTTCAAAATTTCACAGAATGGCTTAGAATACCTGTGGCCACTCACTTTGAGTGAAATTTAAATTTTTTTAGGTGCCAAAAAAAAAATCAAAAAATCAAAATTTTCAAAATTTTACAAAATGGCTTGGAATACATGTGGCCACCCACTTTGAGTGAAATTTAAATTTTTTTAGGTGCCCAAAAAAATCAAAAAATAAAAAATTTTACATAATGGTTTAGAATACTTGTGCCCATCCACTTTGAGCGAAATTTAATTTTTTGAGGTGCCCAAAAAAAATCAAAAAATCAAAAATTTTAAAACTTCACAGAATAGCTTAGAATACATTTGGCCACCTACTTTGAGTGAAATTTAACTTTTTTGAGGTGCCCAAAAGAAAATTTCAAAATAAAAAATAAAAAATTTCATAAAATGGCTTAGAATACCTATGGCCACCCACTTTGAGTGAAATTTAAATTTTTTGAGGTGCCCGAAAAAAAATCAAAAAATAAAAAACTTCAAAACTTCCTAGAATGGCTAAGAATACTTGTGGCCACCCACTTTGAGTGAAATTTAAATTTTTTGTGATGCCTAAAAAAAATCAAAAATAAAAAATTTTAAAACTTCACGGAATGACTTAGAATACCTGTAACTACCCACTTTGAGTGAAATTTAAATTTTTGGGCACCTCCAAAAGCAGAAATTTCCTTCTGTTTCATCAAACAGATTTCTCTTCCATAAATCAATTTCTGGAAAGAATTAGTCCTGTTTTATCAAACAGATTTCTTTTCCAAAAATTAATTTCTGGCAAGAATTCCATAAATCAATTTCTGGCAAGAATTTGATTTCTGGAGTAGAATGGATTCCATGCGCGCGCTAAATATGAGTTTATTGGTCGTAGTCTTCCTTTCTTTCCAGCAATTTCCCAGAAATTTGTCGGAAAAGTAATCATGAGCTGAAGTTTCGTATACGTGGGACGTGTGGGAAGAGTGAAAAAGGTATACGTGGGACGTGCTGCTTGGGAAGAGTGAAAAAGGGCGAACGCTGATATCTTCACTTTTGCAATGGGCACTGATCTGATCAACAAGGGAGCAAAATTAAAATGTTTGGTGCCCAAAAATAAGGGAAAAATGTTCAGTAGCTTTTTGGTAAGTTTCAATTCACATTTCATGATCAAATTTATTGCAATCGTGTTAAGGCACGCCACTGAAAAAACTATATATAGAATTGTAGAATTTTAAATAGCCACATAAGAGCCAAAGATCCACATTAACAGTCACGGAATTTATCGGATTTACATTATACGGATTAATTTGAACAAACAAATATAGTTGAGGGACAACATAAATCATTACAAAAAGTTCAAGGAGATCGAGCTTACTCGCTTAATCAAATAATTTCAGAGTATAATGGTAGGAAAATCAAGTCCCGGGAAAATTTTATGAAAAATTGAAATTTTTTTTCCCATTGGTTTGGAAAGGAGCAAATGAAAACATCGTGAAAAGAATAAAAATCAATTCTTATTTTGTAAGAAGCAGCGAAGGAAAAGTTTGGAGGTTATCCTAATTTTCTTCGCCCCTTCTCCCCATTACCAAACAAAGCGTAGCGAGCTCAAATTTCAGGGATGATAACTCTCGACGTGACACGAATGCATAATCCAAATTTTTAACTTTACTTGGGAAAAGGAGAGAAGGCGGAAAAATGAGGCGGTCTAGAAAATTGGTAAAATTGAATATTTAGAAGAAGTGGGAGGAAGGTATTAAGACATTCTTAATTTTCTTCGCGCATTTTCGTCTGACCATATCCTAAATTGTTCATCGAGACCTCAAATTATAAAGGTGATAGTTCCCCATATAATTTCAACAAAACTCAAGCACTACATTGAATTATTAGAGAAATCAATTACTACACAATTGTCGCGATCTCGCCGCCTAAGGGGTTTGGCTAATGGATTACTAAGTTTAAACCTAACTCGAGCTCTCCCAAGCCCATACCAATTCGCGACTTAGGTTTATGTTATTAACATGCAAATCAATTTCATCTAAGAGTCGCTACTAATCAGTTTTTGGTGGGTCGATTAGACACCCAAGTAAAGTACGGGAGAAATGTTTCACTTTTGCGAACCAGAGATTCAATGAGTATGGGGACTTGATTACACTAATTGACCAACTAGTGCCCTTTCGCTACCTAACCTTGTTCAATCACTGCCTAACATGTTCACACTAATTGGGAATCTCAAAATTCCATTCCTAGCCAAGCTAAGGGAAGCAATAATCAATACATGAACCTAACATACATAATCAACCACATGCGAGGTTAAATTAAACGCGCAATTCAAAGTGTGTGAATTAAGCAACGTGAAATTAAACATGACACTAATCACACAAAAGGGCAAGAAAAGCCAATTCCAAAGCCCAAATAATATATATTTTTTTTATTTTCGAAATTTTTTTAATTTTTTTAATAAAAATATTAACTTTCAATCCGAGAATAGGGAATCGGGCCGGGCCTTGGGGCCTAGTCCGAATATGGACCGCGAACAGGCCACTTGATCGTGCCATAGACAAAAGTGGGCCCTTTCTCAAGCTTACTCAAACCAATAACAAACCCAAATAAGCCTAATTAAACCCAACAATCACTACTCTTATAATAAAAACTAAGCCCAAACTCACCAAAATAACACTCTAAGCCCAAGGCTCACTAAGTCTAAATGAGCCCAAAGTCCACTACTACGACGGTACTACTCTCGGCCGCTCCTTCACAAATTTCCAACTCACGTCTCCTTCTTCATGCATGCCCAGAACACCCAAAGATTTGCTTACTGACTCCAGAACATCAACATTCCAGCCATGAACATTATGCTTCACAGTCAGTCGATACGCGCCCATTCATCGGACCTCTACCGTCCGCCACATATTCGACCATCGCCTATTCTCGACTACCGAACATTTGACATTCAAAATCACAAGCCAACGCGAATGTCTCAAAAGATTGACGTTTCAAGCATGGACATTTATCATTTCCTCATGCACAAGGCGTAGGGCAATGGAATGCTCAAAGAAAATCTCATGCTCAGACTTGGTTCGACGATGAAAGTAATGCTCAACAAGCAACAAAGAGTTTATAATGATGTCGAACTTGCTGTATAAGCACGTAAGAACAAATGGAAATCAGCACAGCCAGTACACGGGCTGAGTTGGGCATATTGTCAAACATGTGGTGAGCAAGAGTCGAGGATGAGACATTGAATATTTTTTCAAACTCGAATCGAGATATAGACCCAACGGAAACCATCACCAGACCAGCCAAAATAACCACATCAGCTCACCCAAACTTAGCACACCTATGGACCCCGAACAAAGAATGAGTGGCTTTTACGGTTCGGCCAAAACAGGGGAAGACGACGAAAGGTTCGCGGCGCGAGCGTTTAACCGCAGACCCCTACCTGGCTTGGAGACGACGGTTAAAGGGTGCGCTCGACACAAATCGTGCCATGGTTGACTGCCTCGACACCTCCGAGCCGAGATCTTCGGGTATGGGGGTTCGAGACCAAGAAAAGGGCTCACCGGAAACACGGACGCCGGGGGGTGGGGTGCTGGGGACGTTGGCCGGGAGAGGTCGTCGTCCAAGGTTCGGACGCGATGGTCGCCGTAGGATGCGTCGTTCGTTCTCGACTCCGCTTCTCACTCTCGCAGATCTCTCTCTCCAATCTCTCCTTCTCGCTTCCAATGGCTCCCCCCGCGGCCAACTCTCCCTCTCTCCCCCTCCTTTCTTAACCTGTTATGGACGTGTGTTGACTGAGAGAAAGAAGAGAGCTCTGCACTATTTTGTCTCTTCTTGTCAGCTTTTATTTGGTTTCTTTATCGAACAAAACTTGCAGACCCATTTCTTATGTCCTCGCTTCCTTTTGCTTCCTTTGTGAAAGCGTGTATGGAGACCGTGCCTGTCCATAGGGAAGAGCTACCCTTTTGTCTTCTCTCTTTTTTTCTTTTTCTTTTTTTTTTCTTCTTTCTTCTTTTTTTTTTAAACTTTTATAATGATTTATTTTAAAATAAAAGAAAGATATGTTCCACTAAATTCTATTAATGCATATGCGCTTAATATCAACACACCATGTAATTTAATGAAAATATTTTTATTTAGAGGTTAAAAATTAATTCTAAATTTTCAATGCAATTAAAACCTGAATGGATAGTCAAAATTTAAGTGTCAACAGGCATGTAGGTTAGTTTTCATTTAATCAAGAGAAAACCCAAAAAAAATACATCAAGTGAATTGCTTGTTAACTAGAAATCATATTAAGATTATTGATGTGATTTTCTAGCTAACAATACAGATGCTTACGTTGCTATGAGGTACGTTATTCTCCTAATTTAGCAATTTATTTACCGCTTTCGTTATTGGGTGTTAATTTGGTGGTTTGCTCACCTGCATGATCACCCCACACATTAGGAAGTAATAAAATGGACCTAGACTGCCTGCTCAAACATTTTTATGAAAGGAAAAGGTACCGAAAGGGCGTTAGAGTAATCTAACGTAACCAAGTCCCTGTATTCATAATCTCTAGTTCGTAGGAATAAAGTATATTTCCCTATACTTTATTTGAGTTTCTAATCGACCCACCGTATATAGATTAGTGGCGACTTCGAAATGAAAATCACTTGCATGTTAAAAAAACATGAACCTTAAGTCGCGAATTGATAGAGCTTGGGAGGGCCCAAGTTAGGCTTAGACTTAATAATCCATTAGCCGAACCTCCGTAGGTGCTACCCACACTGAGGTTAGGTAAGGTCGCGACAACCACCATACTAAATGCATCCGTAAAGAATCTCCTAGCTATACTAGCACTACATGGCATTTTATGGGCCATATGTAGTAATATTATGCTCATTAATTCTACAACCTGCTGTGGCTCACAAGCATTAATCCAGTGTTTCAATATACCTTCCTTCATGCAGAATTCCTTTAACAATTCCGAGCAGAACTCCATATTATTGTCAGTCCGTACATGCTTGATCATCTTACCAATCTTCCTTTTCAATCAAAGATCTTAACTGTTTTATCTCGACAACAACATCATACTTGTGCCTTAGCACAAACACCTAGGTTTTCCTCAAGTAATCATTTACAATTGTTAGCATAAATATAACACTCTTCTTCGAAGAAAATCGTGATAGCTTGCGAGCATCCAAATGAATCAACTCTGTAATCTCCATAGTTTCTCCGATAGTCGAACTGAAGTGCGCTTTTCGCCATTAATCTAAATCACAACACCTACATACATTCAATTCCTCAGCCACATCACACACAGCAAGTTTCTTTCACTCAGAATCTTCGAGCTTCTCTTGCCAATGTGCCCCCAAACGCACATGCCACAATTCAAACTGTGGAATAGATGCATCCAACGTCTTCACGGCAAAATCCGTCATTTTCTTCTCTTAAAACTCATATAGGCCACTATGCTTGGTTCCTCTTATTATCATTAGAGCACCTTGAACGACCTTTAGACCTTCTGAAGTATACCGACATCCAGCTATATCCATTACACTCAAGGAAATGAGGTTCTTCTTCAACTCTGAAACATGACTCGCTCTAGTTAATCTCCTCACGATACCATTATGCATTCTAATTCTAATATTATCAACGCCCACAACCTCACACTCAGCATTATTCCCCAACTGAACTTTACCATTATTTATGCATTGATAAGTAATAAACTACTTATCATTTGGTGTAGCATGAAACGAACAACTAGAATCCATTATCTATCCATCAAATAACAAATCTTCAGTGACAAATAGGACACAATTAGCAATATTTGAATTACAGTCAACTACAGCTGCAACATCATCTTTGGACTTAACTCACATTTCCTTACCCTTCTTATTCTTCAAGTTAAGGCAATCATTTCTAAGATGCCTCATCTTGCCAAAACTCCAACAGACAACAATGTCGGTCCTAGATTGACTACATCCATTCAAATTCACGCTACTCCGGCTAATGTGAGTACTAGGGGTGTCAAAAAAGCTCGGTTCGGCCCTCCCCTACCCTACCCTCCCCTACCCTAACCTATTCAAACTAGAAAACCACTTGAAGTAGAAACCAACTCAAATTAGATAACCTATTTGAATTAGGAAATTAAGTTTCCTTTTTGGACAGAAAAGTATATATTGGGTGATACTATTATTCTTTTTCTTGTGATTTTTATAGCCAAACAAACAACTTAGTACACCAATATAACTCATGTCTAAATGTCACTTCATCATTTTTTATTAGGGAAAATGAATATCGCTTTGGACGCATGAGGTTCCACATAAATCTGCCTCCGGAAACCGTACTCCACTATCACACCATTGACATCGAGCTAATCCAAACGATGGATGATGATGAGGCAGAAAAGAGGAGGCTTCGGCCAGCGAATCTGGGAAAGGTGTTCCTCGGACTGACCTACCAAGCAATGGGGGGCTTCATGGTCTTCCACTTCTCGTCCTCCCTCGACATGGATAATTTACGCCACTCGAAGCTTCTTTCATTTCTCCTGAACTTTTCCGAGGTCGCGGTGGTGGTAGGGTTCACGGCTTCCTTGGTCGGGGTTTTGACGCGCGAACTAGTGTACACAGAGATGGCAATGGTTGCTGAGAAAGCGGGGTCCGCTTCTGCCGCGTTAGGGTTTTTCCTAATGATGAACATGTTCTTGAGCAAATTGTCTATGGGCATTGTATGGGTTTGTGGTGCTGTATCCTTTGTGGCTTTTGTGTTAGTCTTCATGAAGATGAGAAAGGCAGGTTGATCCTAGGTGTACGACATTAATTAGGTCGACCTCTAGTCTCTATGGAAATTAAATCTAGGTCCAATGAAACGAATAGGAGCAGAATAAACTTTATTGTACTTTCAACTAGTTGGTGGAGGGCCATAAGAGAAGTTTAGTGGATAATCATTGATGGTAGGACTTTCTATTGGACTGTTGCACCTCGTTTTTCAAGCAACTAGATGTATAAATGTATCATATGTAGAGTATGCAAATTTGAAATTCAAACTCGAATTCTGAAGGGTATCCATTCATATCTCGCCAATTGCATACAAATTACTTTGAATCAGGATAGCCTAAAGCTCGAAAGCCTGAACTTAACCTGTTCATGGAGTTTGAGGAGTGTTCCATAGATGGCTCTTTTAGGTCGCCAAGTTTATGCATCATACACTTTGGGTTATCCAAAAAAATAAGTGCCCCCAAATTTCAGGAAAATTGTCCAAAAAGCCTGAACCTATTGCACGGTGGCCAATAATCTTTAACCTTTCGATTGTATCAATTTAGTCTTAAATCTTTTGATGATTTGTCAATTTAGTTCTAAACATTTTAATGATTTGCTAATGTAGTTCTTCCGGTCTATTATCCAAATAATATTTTCTAAATTGACAAATTTTCAAAAGATTTAGGACTAAATTGGTACAATTGAAAAGTTTAGGACTGAATTTGTCGTCGTACAACAGGTTTAGGGCTTTTAAAATAATTATCCCCCAAATTTTAGATAGATCCTTTTGACCATTATCGGGGATAGTTATAATAGGTGGTTCTGCATGGCCGCGTTCCATTCTACGCGGTCGACACTCTCTTTCCTTTTTTAATCCAATATCCCTTTTTTTTTTTGCTTATTAACAGTGCTTTATATAATGAGATTGATCTATAAAATTGGTATAATTTGCGACAGACTGCAATAAGTATAATGCTAACACGGGTCTCATATGGCTCCATTCAAAGATCTCCAAATTTTCTTCCCCTTTTGAAGACAGCTTCCTAGATATTCGTTGACTCCTCGAGTTGGCGGGTCTGTTTCTGGTGCCAACTTTAATGAACAAGAAGTGATTTAGCCTCTTAATTCATGTTAATTTGTGTGACGTGTAACGTAAACACGCATATTTATGCATATAACCTTGAAAACTTTTTTCCTTGTAAGTAAAACAGTCTGATTATATACGTAGTACCTTAGTAGTTATACGCATCCAAGACCAACCAAAATTATAAGAGCCAATCATACACCCATGTATGGGCTTGCAACATAAATAATCATTGCTCAGCTACATTAATTCCTACAACACCATCAGCCCCGGGGGAGCGAACCTGGGACATGGCCAAGATGAAGAAGAACGCGACTGCATGGAATTCACGGATAAGTAGCAGCACAATATGTAGCAGCAAGCACTGGCGATCCGGGGTATGTGGTGGACCATGAGGGAGGAATAAGCCCCAGCGAAGGCGGCCATGAGGGAGAGAACGAAGCCCTGGAAGGTCGAAGAGGATGGGCCACCCTTGAGGAACAAGGTCGGGATCGGGTTGCCATCGATGAACTTGCACGGCAGCTGTACGAGGGCCGTGGTGGCCATGAAAGACACCCAGGTGATGCACTGCAAGATGGTGATCCTAGTGGTTTGATGAGCAGTTGATGGGTCGTGCGACATGGTAACGTGTGCGGATCAGAGGATCAATGCTGGATGGGTTGTGCAAAAATTGCACAGTGTTCACTTTGGGATTGTGTTGGTATCATCTCCTTATATTTTGAGGTCTTAAAAGTTAGTCAAGGAAGTCTCAATTGACCGGCTCCTAGGAAATGCAATCTCTATTCTTAATTTGAACTTTCCCCGTAATTGATCGCATCTCTCTTGTACGTGAGGGCTTATAGCTAGTCAAGGAAATCTCAATCCTCGTTCTCTTACGAATTGCCTTCTATCCTTTGAACTTTCCAAGTAATCGAGAAGTGCCATAATTTTTGTGCAGCGCTCACTTAAGTGTTATGATTTCTAAAAAATATTCACTTGAGTGCCATAATTTTTAATCAATCACTTAAGTGCCATAACTTTTAAAAAACGTCTACTCATATGTTGGAAATCCAATGTGGCATGGCAGTTGTGGTGATCGATTGAAAAGTT